CGAGGTGCGGCCGCAACACCGAGGGTTGCAATCCCGTTGCCGGTCCCAGTCCAGTACGGGCGCGACAATGAGGGTTGCAATCCGTTGCCGGACATGAAAAAAGACAAAAAAAGGAAAAAAAAAAAAAAAAAAAAAAAAGAAATTTATTTATGATTCTTTTATTGACATGCATAGGGGCTTTGGACATCTGAATAAAAATTGATTTCAAATAAAGTCTTCTTAGGTCTTTGTTTTTCAAGGCAATGCTTCCTTTCTAGCAATTTGTTTGGGGGGTTGGCAGGGAGATCTGAAGGCGGAGGAAAGTGGGAGATGAGAGAGGGAGCCACTGAATGCCCACCACTAAAGCAAGGGAAGAATGGAAAAGAAATAACTTGCCTCTGGACTCCACACGGAGGAGCTGTCAGTAGCATAGGAATCTTCAAGTCCCCGGTTATCAAAAGCTGTCTCCATCTCCAAGCTGCCGTCTGTGGATTGGCGACTGAGGCTTCGGGCCACAACAGTCTCTTGGTGAGATGCACCATGGTGTCTGTTATCCCCTCTCTCACATGGGGACTGTGGGTGGGCAAAGTTGGGATCATCTTCACCATAAGACAGATTCTCAAAGTAACTTAGTTGGCTGGTTCCATCCAAATCTAAATTTACAATAAGGATACTATTTCAAATGCATTATTCTTTTTACACCTTTTTACCTAGAGAAACTGAGCAACTGCAACCACAACAACTAAGACCACAAAAACAAAACCCACACCAATAACACCTGCAGAAACATAATTCCACCCATACAGTGGATAAATTTGGTCCATGCAACCAAAAAAGACCATTAGCTTATTATGTGGGGTACAAGAAGGTTTAACACTTCCTAATAATATGAGCACAAAAAAAATCTATATTTATTTAGAAGGATAAAATACACACATTAGCAATTTTGTTGGAGTTAATAATCACAAGACTGTGGGAATAGATCTAGAAAGCAAAAACAGTAATCTAATATGGAGAAAATACAGTCTCTCGATTCTACCACTCTTCCTTCTCTCTTCCATGTTCACTATATTATCTTCTGCATAAAAGGCTTCAGGGGTTCTCCCAAGTAAAAAGTCTTCTGTTTGATCCATGGAAAGAACACTACATTTGGATTCATATGACTTGGGTTTAATTCCTGTCTCTGCCTTAAGAACTTAAAAAATACTCAAACTCCCAGAACATTCATTTCCTTACTTAAAAAATGATAAAAGCCTTCAGAGGGTCATTTTGGACACATGAAATAATACCCATCTAGCAGCCAGCAGGCCTTCCATAAATATTAGCCTTGCTTACCTGTCTGGCCTGAACTGGCCTCATTCAACCCATTCAACCCCATTTCTGGAGGGAGAGGGCAGAACAAGATGCTGACTAAAAGACTCTACTGCTTGTCTCCCACAAAAGCAGACGAAACAATGAATATGCAACTACACTTGGACAAAAGTAACTAAATGAGAGCCCTGGAGCACATCACAGGAGTAACAGAAATGCCAGTGAGCACAGAAACTCAGGATAGCCACATAGAGAATGGAAGAAAACACTAGCCTCCAGCACCCTATCCCCCAGCCAGGAGCAGCAGGGAACCAGGAGGAATTTCTCCCTGTGGGGAAAAGGGTAGTGAGAGGACCCCAGCAGCCCTCATCAGCACCTTGGACACCTACCGTCCTAACTACTGGGGACTCTGGCAGTCCTCATAGGCATTAAGCCAGGCTGAGGGAATTCCCTGGCGTCCACACAGCTGTGCTCTGCCAGAAGAGCTGACACTGCCCTGCCTTCTGAGGCTCAACTGTGCCATCTCGGAGTTGGAACTGCTGCTAGGGGGTATCTGATACTCTTTCCTCCCAGAGACTAAGCTGCCATTGAACGGACTTCCCCCATCCAGCTGACAGTAGCTGTTACACCCTGCCCTGAAGAACTAAGCAGTGGTGAAGCCACTCCACCAATCCCTCCCAGTTGCAGCTGTGCGCCCCTCCCCCTCAGGCTGGACCTAAAGCTGCACACTCCTTTTGGGGGAATCTTTAACTGCCCCTCACAGTTGTGGCTGTGCCCTGTTCCCTGAGACTAAACTAAAGGGGTGCATAACCCCCTGGGAAATTGCTGTTTTAGCTGAGAAGTTGCTTGGCTGAGAAGCTGCTTGGCCAAGCTAAGCAGCTGTGCACTCCAGGGCTGAGCTGGTGTAGTACCTCACATCCCAGCGAAACACAGCAGTGGCTGAGCTGAGACACCCTGCCCTAGGGGCCGAACAACTCTAGTACTCTGCTTCCCTGAAGCTGAACTATTGCCCTAGAGACAGAGCTGCTGAGACACTTCTTCCCCCAGAAAGTGAAGTCAGTGCTGTGCTGCTCCCTAACCCCAAGGACCAAACAACAGCTGTGCCGTGCCATTCTGGGTTCTTGCTGCCATTGTACCTCGCATCACAGAGACTGAGATATTGCTAAGTCCCACTACTCCAGGGTCTATAGGCATCACCACAAGGTGCCTCATCCCCTGGGAACCAAAGGACAACTGATCTCCATTTATTGTGGTTCCTGAATAGCAGCCATACTCTGCTCCCTAGGCTCAAACCACCAGAACATCCCTTCTTCTCCAGAATTGGGCAAGTGCTGTACTCAGCCCTTCAAGGACAGAGTCATAGCTATAACCTGGCCCACGGGGCCCCAGTTGCCAGGGGTGCCTCAAAGCCACAGATCTGGATGCTGTGGGCAACTGACATCCAACACTGCCACAGACAGTGAACCTGAACCTCAAGACCTGGGTGCCACAAGAGGTTTGTGAGACACTAAGCCTGGGATCCTGGCTCCACAGTCACTCTAAGCACCTGCACCTGGAATCCAACATCATTGCAGCTACTTGCAGGTGAGGTCAGACCCAACACCAAAGGGAATACCCTTGACCAAGTTCCCCCATTGTGGAAAAAATGAGAATAGGAGACACTAAAATCCCTTGCCACTGAAGACCTTAACAACATATGCCACTGCTGCTGACACAAACATCTACAGGCTTTCCTTCTATACCTAATTTGTTTAGCCTTTTTATGATGAAGGGTGCTGAACTTTATCAAGTGCTTTTTTTATGACTATGGGAATGATGATATGGTTTTTTCCTCCATTCTGTTGATGTGATGCATCACATTTATTGATTCACATATGTTAAACCAACCTGTCATCTCTGGGATAAATCCCACTTGATCAGGGTGAGTTATCTTTTTAATACGTTACTGGATTTGGTTTGCTAGTACTTTGTTGAGGATTTTTGCATCAATGTTCATCAGGTACATTGGACAACAGTTTTCTTTTTTTGTTGTGCTCTTGTATAGTTTCGATATCAGGGTTAATGCTGCCTTGTAGAATGAGTGTGGAAGACCTTAGCACAATAAAGTCCATATATGCCAAAACAACAGCTAATTATCATACTGATTGGGGAAAAGCAGAAAGTTCTTCCTTTAAGAACTGCAACAAGACAAGGATGTCCACTTTTTCCAGTTTTATTCAACATAGTACTGGAAATCCTAGCCAGAACAATTAGGCAAGAAAAAGAAACAAAGGGCATCCAACTGGAAAAGAGGAAATCAAATTGTCCCTGTTTGCAGATGACATGATCTTATATATAGAAAAACCTGAAAGCTCCACCAAAATAATCTCTTAGAAATGATAAATGAATTCAGTAAAGTTGCAAGATACAAACTCAATATACAAAAATCAGTAGCATTTCTATATACTAATAATGAGTAAGATGAAAAAGAAATCAAGAAAGCAATCCCAATTACAACAGCTACCAAATATATATATATATGAATTAATATATATATATTAATATATATATATGAATTAATTTAACCAAGGAGATGAAATATCTCTACAAGAAAAACTATAAAATCATGATGAAAGAAATTGAAGAAGGCACAAAGAAATGTAAAGATATTTCATGTTTATGGGTTGGAAGAATTAATATTGTGAAAGTGACCACACTATCAAAAGTGATCTACAGATTCAATGCAATCCCTATCATAATACCAGTGACATTTCTCACAGAAATAGAAAAAACAATCCTAAAATTCATATGGAATCACAACAAACACCAAATAGCCAAAGCAATGACGAGCAAAAAGAACAAAGCTGGAAGCATCACAGTACTGATTTCAAAATACACTAAAAAGCTATACTACAGAACAGACACACAGACTAATGGAACAGAGTATGAATCTGGCCCTCACACCATGGGTAGGAGGGGTCACAATTAGCTTTGTATGTCATGAATATTCTTAATAAATAAGTAAATAAATAGATAGATAGATAGATAGATAAATAGATAAATAAATAAATAAAAAGAACAAAGATCCTGAATATAAAACCATGTATTTAAAGCCAACTGATTTTTGAGAAAGGTGCCAAGAGTATTTAATGGGGAAAGGACAGTGTCTTCAGTAAATGGTGCTGGGAAAACTGGGTATTCACATGTAGAAGAATGGAACTAGATCCGTATCTCTTATAAACAAAAATCAACTCTAAGTCCAAATGGATTAAAGACCTGACTTTAAAACCCAAAACTATGAAATTACTAGAAGAAAATATAGGGGAAATACTATACAAAATGGGAGTGGGCAGCACTTTTTTGGACAAGACTAACTACAAAGGCACAAACAACTAAAGCAAAAATAGACAAATTGGACTACATCACACTAAAAAGTTTCTGCACAGTAAAGGACACAATCAACAAAGTGAAGAGACAACCTACAGAAGGGAGAAAGTGTTTGCAAACTACACATCAGAAAATGGACTAATATCTGAAATATACAAGGTACTCATACAACTCAACAGCAAAAACCAAATAACCCAATCAAAAAATGGGCAAAGGACCTGAACAGACATTTCTCAAAAGAAGACATACAGTTGGCCAACAGGCATATGAAATATGCTCAACATCACTAATCATCAGGGAAAGACAAATTAAAACCATGATGAGATATCACCTTACTCCATTTAGAATGGCTATTATGAACAAAAGAGAAAATAAATGCTGGCAAGAATAGAGAGAGAAGAGACCTCTCCTATATCGTTAGTGGGAATGTAAATTGCTTTCCACAGTCATTGTGGAAAGCAGTATGGAGATTCCTCAGATAACTAAAAGTTAAACTATGCTATGACCCAGAAATCCCACTACTGGATATACACACAAAGGAAATTAAATCAGTATATCGAAGAGACACCTGCACTCCCATGCTCATCAAAACACTATTTACAATAGCCAAGAGATGGAATCAATCTAATTGCCCATCAACAGATGAATGGATAAAAAGTACTGTAGTACATATACACAATAGAATACTATACAGCTATTAAAAAAATTCCTGTTATTTGCAGCAACATGGATGGAACTGGAGACCATCAGGTTAAGTAAAGTTAGTCAGGTACAAAAAGACAAATGCCACATGATCTCACTCATATGTAGAAGCTATTAAAAAAAAAGAAAAAAGAAAGGAAAAAAAGAAAAAAGTGGTTCTCAGAGAAGTAGAGAATAGCATGATAGTTACCAGAGGCCAAGAGGGGAAGGGGGAAGGAAGGAGGGGAACTAGTGGATTATGTGTACAAAACTATGCTATCTCCCCTAAGTGAAC